CAAATCCCAATCGAGCATTTCCAGGCAATGGCAGCTCTTCAAGCTTGCCAGGTTATTGGTATGCCCGAGTGCCGAATCAATCTAGCACACTGCGTAGGTTATTTATCAGAAGCGCCGAAATGTACTCGCGCGTACGAGGCATACAACCGAGCGGAGGTAGCGGCAAAGTTAGACCCGACAATGCCTGTGCCCATGGTGGCCCGTAATGCTCCGACAGCCCTCATGAAGGAGCTTGGCTATGCAGAAGGTTATAATTATAACCCAAGTTTTCGGTGCGTCAACACTTCCGGAATGCTCGCTAAAGTATCGTTTAACTAGTCCTATATCCACAGGCACCCCGTGCACAATGACTTCCTCCCGATTACGTTTCGCGGCGATAAATTTTTAAAGGAGGTTGGAGATCTGTCGGACAAGGTTTGGGATGAGCATGAGTTATTGCGTTGGGAGCAAGAAGAGAATGGCGGACGGTTATGGAGAGGTCGTTCTTTTGCTTAACACCGTGATTGAACTCTGTGTCATTTGGCTGTTGTCGATCCCTTCTTTGTTGCTATGCCACTGCATTTCGGGTAACATTGTAATTGAAAATAAGTCTGTCGGATGAGCACGCTCAAAAGAATAACATGCCTGGACCAACTCGTTCACACGTTTCATGTCCTCAGCGCAACTGTCCATGCGTATGCGAGCGTGGAAAACCAGGCGCAAAGACGGCAAGAGACGAGCTTAAGGTACTGTTCCCTAAAAATTTGAAATATAGAGTGGGTCCTTGCTGGAGCATGCGGTTTATGACAAATACAATGTGCAACTCACCCGCTATGCACATGCGCCGCCTCCTGAAGTGAGAATGGTCGAATTGGTTCCGTGCGAGATAGCATGGTCCGGCCGCCGGTATAACCGACTCACTCACGGTGCATGAGCCGGAGCAATCCTGCCGGGAAGACATGAAAACGCAATGCTCTGCCACTATGAAGCCAATTTAGTAGCTGCTCAATGGTAAGTTCCCCCAGGCCTGTACTTTTGGAGGTGCAAAATGCCGAAAAAGTTTATTTCTGCTATACTCCAAGGCACCCTCTTATCTCTCACACGAGACACGCTCAGGACTCCACGCGCACTACATGTCTATACACGGGTCCCATAGCCATGACCGTACCGAACAATTGGTCTTCCAGTTACGAGAATAGTCGCTTATCTGCATTTCAGGTAAATACATATAGTTGTGCTAAAGCTTCTCGTGCAGTTTGTGCAGTACTACTGTCTTGCTACGATGAGCTTGACCGCTGAAGGAGCGATCAGCGGGCACGATGTGCCCAGCGAGAAAGCTCTTAGCACTAGTGACAAATCGTTCGATGACAAAGGCGACGTCGAAACTGCAACAGTCGATGCTAACAGCGAGGAAGGCGTGCTCTCCGATGAACGTGACATTGCTACGCACGTCATCTCCGTGGACGACGATCCTTCTCTGAACCCGTGGACATTCCGTTCCTTCTTTATTGGTCTTGGCCTCTCAGCCTTTGGTGGAGTACTCGGTGAGCTTCTTTGAATTTTTTTTATCCACTATGATACTCATCAATGTCAATCTATAGCGGAAATCTATTATTTCAAGCCCGTGCGTAGTAGAACAAGCATGCCAACTTTATATGCTCTTAACATCATTGTCACAGCAAACGGTTTTAGTGTCATTGATGTTCCTTGCAGTCGTATCTTATGTCCTGGGCGTCTTCATGGAGACTTTTATTCCTCGCCGCGGATTCCTGCGCTACCTGAACCCTGTAAAGCAATTTACCCACGTCCGTTGCTTTATTCTAAATATCTTTCTCAGGGACCATTCAACAAGAAAGAAAATGCTTTCATTGTGATTATGGCAAGCGCTTCTGCCAACTCCGCCTTAGGTACCGAAGTTCTTGCTGTCCAGCGGTCAGTGACCATTACTCATATTGACGGAATTTACTTATCTCTGCTAAAGATTGTATTACAACATCACGCCCAATCCCGCTGCTTCGATTTTCCTGCTCTTCTCTTCTCAACTTCTTGGGTACGAGAATGTTTCTTCAAGTTCAAGCGGGCGCTAACAAAGTTCTTAGTTATGGAATTGGTGGCATGATGAGAGGTATGTCCATAATTGAATCTCTTATCGAACTCGTGTTTACATACCTCTACCAGGCATCCTGTTGTATCCATCAAAGATGTTATATCCTACTGTGCTACCATTGTTGTCCATGTTCGATGCTCTCTACGAGGGCGGGATGGAAGCGCGGAAGAAGCTCAGAGTCTTTTACATGGTGTTTGCTGCGTAAGTTTGATATTAAAACCGACAATGATCAAACATGCTGATCGACTCAGTATCTTCATTTGGGAGCTTTTCCCAGAATGGATATTCCCGCTTCTGACCGGGTTCTCCATCATCTGTCTTGCAGCTCCGAACAATGCTGCCGTCTCGCGAGTGTTTGGTGGCAGCAACGGAAACGAGGGTCTGGGACTCCTGTCTATCTGCTTTGACTGGCAAGTGAGTGTGAATGCGAACTTTGAAAGTGGATTATGTCATTGACGGGATCTGCCACAGTATATCTCTGGCGGGGTGAACCCTATGACGATCCCGCTCAAAGCACAGGTATGACCTTTTTCCAAGTCCGCGAGCCAGACGCCTTACATATTTCTTGAACAGTTCTCGAATCTCCTGGGCTACATTCTTTGCATGTGCGATCCCCCCGCCCTGATTCAAGACCTTGCATTGACTTACGTTTAGGGTCGTGTTTGTTGCTGTGTATTACAAGAACATCTGGATGGCCCAGAACTTCCCATTCGTTAGTTTACATTCACATTAAACGGCAGAACATTGACGCCAACTCCCCACAGCTTTCTCAACTCTTGTTCTATGAAAACGGAACACAGTACGATCAAACACTTATTCTCAATGCCAACTATGAAGTCGACCCCACACTCCTCGCTGAACAAGGCCTACCTTATTATTCCAGCACTTGGATAGTCTACTTGCTGACCTCAAATTTGGCAAGTTCGCCAAACGTTGGTAACACTGCGGACTGACAGTTTGAAATCCTAGGGTTTGGCGGCCACGTTTACCCATCTTCTCCTCTGGAACCGGGATGACTTGCGCTCTGCATGGAGCTGGATGACTCCGGCAGGCGTCAAACAAATATGGGCGAATTTTGACTGGAAGTTCTGGAAAGCAGACGGAATGCGGAAGCAAGACGTCGATGATGAAAATATCGATCCCCACTACAAGCAAATGCTGAAGGTTAGTTTTTCATCTCTGCGCATTCAGCTTTCAAACATGAACATCTCTGTAACAGTACCCCGATGCTCCCAATAGCTGGTACTTTGTCGTTTTCCTCTTGTCTTTCGTCGTTTCCTTGGTGGTTATATACAAGAGCAATTCGACTTTGCCATGGTGAGTAGCTGTGATCGGAAATGTGGTCTAGGCTGATTAGCAGTGAAGGTGGGGTCTCATTATCTCGCTCTTGCTGGCGACAATTTCCATTCTGTTCTTCGGTGCACTCGGCGCGATTACAGGATTTGGGCTCATCATCCAGCCGTATGTCCTTGAATTCAATTTTGATCCTTGATAACTCAATTCGCATTCAGGTTTATCCAGATGATTGGTGGTTACCTTCACAGCGGGAAGCCAGGTGATTGCCTTGCTCGTCGTTAATATGTTTGATTGACAAATGCTACAGTGGCAAATATGTACTTCGTTCTATACGGATACAGTATGTATCAGTCTTGCGTTCCGAGAACATGTCGGCTAACCCGATGTTACAGACACTGTCAGCCAAGCCCAACTACTACTCCGCGACCTCAAGATTGCTCAGTGTGTGTATATTTCACCCCGTAGGCGAACATGGCAATCTGTGTTGACCGTAATTTACAGATGCAAAGCTGCCACCTCGTGCTGCATTCACTGCTCAGATTCTTGGCACGCTGCTTGGTGCCATCTTGAACTTCTGTGCGCACGTCACTTGTTACATGACATAAAAACTAACTGACATTGCACATATAGTCATCATGAATTCAATCATAGATAACCAACGTGAAATCTTGTTGTCTGTCCAAGGAACCAATATCTGGTCCGGCCAACAACCTCAGCAATACAACTCTCAGGCAATTGCGTGGGGTGGACTGAGTCACGAGCTCTTTTCCGCAGGGCAAAGATACCAATGGGTTCCTTGGGCGTACCTAGTTGGACTTTTCATCCCTGTTCCGTTCTGGGTCATCCACAGGTACTGGCCAAAACTTCGCGCGGATTATCTTTATACTCCAGTTATCGCGTACGTTCAGTTTTTCCTGAATTACTAAGAGCATGCTCACATTTTTCACAGCTACTTTATTGGATGGCTTTGTGTTGGAATCAATTCCTCCATTCTTTCTTACTTCGCTATCGCATTCTTCTCGCAATGGTGGCTGCGTACGCGCCACCCTCGCTGGTTTGCTAAATACAACTACATCATCGGAGCTGGTGAGTATTCTGGAACGTCATTCGGGACCCTTGACTAATCAAGTGATGCAGCCCTCGACGGAGGCACTCAAGTCATGGTGTTCATCCTCTCATTTGCGGTGCAAGGCGCTGGTGGGACCGCTCACCTGTTCCCTGCATGGTGGGGCGCGAACCAATCAGGTAATTATGACCACTGTGCCTATTTGAACTGAAATTAGTGAACATGGGGTGACGGTGGAGCTTATCGCACGTATCATACACGTGTATATAAGCATGTTTATCAAACGTTTCGTACTTATATATTGTAGAAATAAGAATTTAGCATTTAAGACTGTGCTGTTCTAACGCATATACGCATGGTGCAGCGCTCTTTCCACACCTTCAACTACGTAGTTGACGAGGAACACAGGAAAACGCCTCATTAGATGCGTGCCGCGGCTGTGGAAACATGAGGCCGCTAAGAAGTAGGTGTGAATTGCTGCACTGCCACTAACGCTTCTCATGGAATCTCGCCCGATTTCGGCTGTGGCCCTATATTTCCTTTTGGCCAAGCCTAGCAGCGCCACTCGTTCCAAATCACTTTTATTTATTTCAATGGAAATATTTATGCGGCTGCAGCCTCTACAACGTTCTCTACCCCCATTGCACAAGCACCTCTCCCTGTCTTTCATTTAACGCTGGTTTTCGGCAAGCTAAGCTATAGGTACCTCGCTACACAACTCCGTTGCAAACGGAGAACAAAAGAATTTGTAGTCACAGCTTTCAACAACAACAATAACGGTCAGTACAATGGAATAATAAACAACACGCCTTCAACATGCAACTCATTTGGAGTATCCTTTATCATGATCCGCAGCTGAAAATACAGACTGGACAGGATCGACAGCCCGTGTATCTATCCTCACTTCTACCTCTACCACCACTGGCTGGTTGGTGCTTTCGTCGTCTCTCATGTTCGCCCGTATCGCCAGGTTGCGATTCCTAGCACTCCTTACATTCTCCTCATTGACAGCTGCTAGAGATGACTCTCTGTGTACGTCTTCACTTACGGCATTGCAATTGGAATATACCTGATACATTCGTACAGTCACTTCTTCCGTGACTTATTGCTCACCACCAGAGACTCTGCTCATTCAGCAGTTTGACATCGCATACTTTGCAAAGAATCAGTCCATATGGTTTAACATCTCCGCAGCGAGTGTCGTACGTGGCTTTCTCCTTCAGTAAAGCTTTACCTCATTTTTCTCTCAAGGATCCCAACGTCAATGTGACTGCCAATGTGATGCTGAACGTTTATGGAATGCATCCTGTGAACTTCACTATCGATTTATGCTCGTTGTTCAGTGGTGCCCTGTGCCCATTGCCGATGTATAACTTTACCGGTTCCGACTCCATCCCTATACCATCCTCCCTTGGTGTTTCCGACAAAATCCCCAGCATCGCTTTCCAAATTCCGGATCTTGAGGCATATGGTAGGTTCTCGCCGTATTAGACTAGACGTTGCGCTCATGTCTTGTTAGCACAATTGTCCCTCACAGAAGTGAACACTGGAGTCCTTAAGGCTTGTGTTCAGGCAACCCTCTCTAATGGCTGGTCAACACATCAAGTAGCCGTGGAATGGGCGACTGGTGCACTAGCACTACTTGCTCTTCTGTCTGCGTTTTGCTACTCGTTTACGCCAGGCACCCTGGCACCCTTCCGTCTTTTCGATCTTCTTTATCTATATCAATGGACTGCATCAACAGCACTCCTGGATCTTAACTATTCCTCAGTCTATCGGGCATTTACAACCAACTTTGCATGGGCGATGTGTTTATTCCCCGCGTCCGCGACCTCTCCTATTCAGACTTCCATCAACAACATGCGTCACCTCACCGGAGGCAACATGGCCGATGCCACTGGAGGTTCTGCGGTCGCTCTCGTGAACCGCAAACTCAGCCCATACAATGCCATGTCTTCATCAACTTTTTCTGCTTCTTCGGATCAATATGCGGGCATCGGCACAGAGAACCTTTGGGCGTCTTTCAATACGAGTTCGGCTAATTATGTCTCGGACATCTCCGTCGCCTCTGTTCAAGAGCTCTCCGCCGCTGGCGATGTACAACTTGTGACACCGTCATCTGCCAATGTCCTACAGGCCGGTGTACCTATCTATGTCAACTCTGTTGGCATTGCCACGGCTAACTCTTTCATGACCGTCTTCCTGGTCGTCTTGATGATCGCTGCGACATTGCTTGCAGTCCTCTTCATCGGTTATTGCGTCCTTGCCGCAACATCTCGGTACAGACGACGGACAGGAAGGTACATTGCTGACTGGCATCATCGATATCTTTCATTTGCCCGTGCCTGGCTGTTGCGCGTTGTGAGTACGGCTCGGCTTCCATTTCATCACATCCGCTTACTCATTACCCTAGTGCCTGATAGTATTTACTCCAGTGACAATATTTGCGTTCTATCAGTGGACGCTCAAGGATTCATGGTTGTCTATATTCCTTTCAGTGATTTTGTTCCTTGCGGTGGTTGGCTACATCTTATATTCTATCGTCCTCGTACATCGCCTGGCCCTTCGTTCAGCACCCTCTGAACTGTATATGCAACCTGATCTCCTAGCTTCTCATGGTCCTCTGTACGCCATATACCGCTTGGAGCGATTTTACGCGACTACTCCCTTGATATTGGCGATTTTCGTGAAGGCTCTTTTTATCGCCTTTTCTCAAGTCAATGGTGTCGTGCAAATCGTCGCAATCCTCGTTGTAGAATGCATGGTCCTTGCCTCTCTATTAGTCCTTCGGCCGCACAAATCAAGAGGTGCTGATGTCCTTGCAACTTACCTGGCGATTACCAGAGTACTTTGCACTGGTCTCATGATCGCTTTTTTGGAGAGCCTAAACCTAGGGGCAATACCTCGCGTTGTGATCGGCATTGTGATAGCTGTTATCATTTCGGTTGCGGTCATTGTCATGTTTATCAACACGCTCGTGAACATGGGCATCATGAGACTTGTCCCGGCACACTATAGACGGCGGCCGGGTGCCACACCTGGTAGTTTGGATATGGAGAAGGGTGCTGAAAATGACGAGAAAGACTGGCGGCCGCGGAATCCCACGCCGGAGCGGAACATTCCTCTGGACCCTGATGTCAACCAACCATATCCTGATAGTCCTTCCCAGACTTTGACAGACCATCAGAGTGTCTATTCAGAAGAATCAGGGTCAACAACGCTAGGTTCACTGCTCCCACGGCGGTGGTCAATCCAACAATCTCAACCCTCAAATCGCTCGCGGTCCAACTCTCAATCGCAGTACTCGACGAGTCAATCAAATTATTCACCCTCTCGGTCCAATCATATATCAAATGCATCATCACCGCGGCAGTCCATACCGCCTTCGCCGCTGCACACACAATCACCATCGCATAGCAGACAGCCCACTATAGACGAGCACCCTCCATTTCCATAGACGTTCTTTTTCCCCTTTAGATCATGTTCCATAGAGTCCAAGCACTTTCGCCGCTTCTCGCATTGCATATAATGAACATTCTTCATCTCATTTCACTCGCATTCACTCACTCATTTGGACAAATCTGGTAATGCATGTAGATAGTTCATGATATATGAATCATGATTCACTGTCACCTTACTTATCCTTATTTTGTTAATGTTGCTTTTGTTAGAGTCTTATGGGTAAATATTCGGTGTCGACCTAGTAATATATCTCCATGTAATTTAGTCTTAGACAGACTAGACGAATGAAGACAAACGTTCCTTCTAGCATGCATCACTATTGGACCTAAGGCCTAAGGCGTGGATCATTGGTGTGCTACCAGTGAGATTACAACAACCCATAGAACAGTTTGACGTCAGCGCCAAAGCTCCATTCCCTCTGTTGGTTTGCAAACCCCACTTGTAAACAAAAACGTCGTTCGATCAAGTTGTGATTGATCAGATCAAGCCCGTACCGCACATTGCGCTCCTCATGGCGGCAATACGACGTCATGCATCAATGCATCATGAGCGCTGAGGAATGGTAGCTCCGCCACCCAATCAGCGCAAATTCATAACACAAACTATTATCACGTCACGATGACGTTAACGTCCACTGTGTATTAGATCGACAACTTCGTCGTGGGACCGAAGAGAGCCAAGCGCGTGTTCGACGTCGTTCGACTTCCCTTAGGCACATGAACGGACACGGACAGCAGTGACCCTGCCGGAGGGAGTCATAGTACTAGGCAACAAGCTTCGACATCATTAATGGCACGCACCCCTAATATGCTCCTTCTGTGCGTTGGAACTGAAGCACTTTTCGAGATGAGAGCTAGCACAACGGCAAGCTACTGGGTAAACCCACCGTGCGCCGCATGCCTTGGTGGTCTTTATTTTGTTGCGCTGAACTGCTCCAGCACCGAACGAAAATTGGATGGGGGATGAACAATTCATTTACAGCAAGCTGGAGCCCCATCAGTACACAGTCCCGAGTGATATATTGACATTTCGCACTACTGGACTGTAGGAACCTTGAGGTCTCTCAGGTTCGAGCGTTTTGGGCAAAGATACAGCGTCTGCGACACACTAATCGTTATCGCGCATTAATCTCTGAGAGTCTGAGAGTCTCGGCGTGTTCGGGTCCACAATTGAATTGAAAGAAGGTTATAGTTTTGAATGGATCACGTGACCGATACGCATGAGCAATAAACGTTCTTTACAGTTTACCGCGACACAACAACGATGAGCTCAAAAAATTCTTCGAAAAAAGCCGCGAAAGCGAAGATCCCTAATAGAAATTTGAGGGTAACTGACTTTTTTACCCGAAAACCAGCACAAGTGCCGAGTTCGTCGGTTGTGTCGTCGTCTCAGCCTAGTCTAGTCGCGTTGGCCACACGTTCGCGTCAAAGCAACGCTTCAAAGTCATCACCTGAGACATCCATGGCAGTCTCTAACAAACAGACCATAACTACTCCTATGCTCTCCGCTTCGCGCACGTCCACTTCTAGTGGTTCCGGTACTCTTCTTTCCCCACCCCACACAGCATCTAGAACCCGTCCTTCTACTTGTCAAACTCCAAAGGGTCCTACGGCATCGCCTCGTATCACACGCAGCCAAGTAGCACATAACACCCCTAGGAGGGTCTCTCAAAAGCGTCCTCGTTCCCCAGACCAGTATTTCGGCGCTTCTCACCTCCTGAGCGCGTCTTCGTCCGCCAAGGCCAGGTTGCCTCATAAGCGCAAGAAGAAATTCGAGAGCGACTCCGAGGGTGAACGTCCAAGCGGTGTTATCTATGTCCAGAGACCAGGCTCTCCTTTGAAACCATCCATACAAGCCCCTCCACTCACAGGGCCTCACACCCCTTCATCTAGTAAGCTTCTCATACACAGTAGCCAATCTGACGAGATGGAACTCGTCGTCCCTGTACTAGACACTCGCGTTCTCTGTCAAGTCAATGAACAAGTCCACAAATGGCGCCAAACTACTTTGGTATCACCATCCTCATCTGTCGTTAATGACAGTAGCCCCTGTGACTCAAGTGCAACGGACGCAGGCCTGCCGGTACCTGTTACTTCCCCATCAAATGACGACGCGTACTTGCGTTCTATCACGCCCTTGCATAGTGCACCTCCTGAGACGCCCCTTCAACCCTCTGCGTCACTGCCCTCCCCGCCTGACACCGCAGGTGTCCCACAACTTCCTGCCACGCCCGTGTCTGATAAAGCAGGCAAGGCTGTGCAGCTCATTGCAAATATCAAAGCAAAAGCATTTGCCGAAAGCTCCCTGAGCGATGAGGAGAAAACCTACAAGTTCCGCGAGCTCGATGAGAGTAGTGACGATGACCTCGAAAATATGACTCTCATTCCCGATAAGAAGGGCAAGGGCAAGAAGTCTGTCTCATTCCATACACTTCAATGTACCATATTCTGAATCCGAATTCTCTTTAGCTTGCATCTTCCTGTCCTGGATGGTATGGATGGCATATTCGACTCACCGCTATCAAGTGTCCCATCTTCGGCACCCAAACCCCCCACCTCCTACAATTTCCGCAATCGCCGTTCTCCTTCTGCCTCCCCCACGCGCCCCCCTGTTCACACCCACAGGATGTCCCGAACCCAAGTACACACCCGCTCTGGCCGTACAAGCAAGCCTGCACCGCCCCTACGCCTTCCTAGCATCGTCGTCACCAAGAATGCACCTGGACCCTCAAAACTCAAGAAGTCCTTCAATCCGCTTGAAGCGCTCCTTCGCGAGAAAAAGGCCGCGGAGAAGCGCGGGAATGGGAGTGCTGCATTCCTGCGCGCCGAGGACGCTTTGCAGGCCCACATCTATTCGGATGCGGATCTGGAAGATGATCTGAACTTGGCAGATGAGGGTGCCGCATGGCAGGCGATTCAAGAACACGCTCAACGCAAGTCGAGCAGCCCCATTCTTGAACCACTGGAAGATGATGTGTTCATGGGCGAATACGAAACAAAAATTCTTGGCCGTGAGGCAGGCGAAAAGATCGAAAAGATCCTTGTCAGTGACAAGAGCACCGAGAACAAACAGTCGAAGGAAAAAGTTGTGGGTGTGCCGCTCTGGCAGGAGGGCGCGAGTGATGATGAGATGGTTGTCGATGATGAGTGTAATGTGAGCTTTGGGGATGCCAGTAACCATCCCGTATTGGCACTTTTGCAACACTTAATCGGGATCGGAGGTGCGTCCATATATCGAAGCCGGATTTGGAGACTTATCTTCCGGGTAGCTGCCGATCAACTGGCTTTGACTCTGTCTTCAGGAGTGCTTGGCGCTCTAGGTCCTGAGGAGAAATCTCTTGTTATCTCTCCTCTTTTTGCGCTGGGTATGTTTTGCCACTGATCGAATGATTCATGTCTTTGCTTACCCATGTTTTGCGTCTCTAGCCATCAGCGTTGCTGAGTCCCGCCTCTCTGGCGCAGCATACAGTGCTCTGCATAGTTTGTGGAGTGCAACATCCTACACATCTAAATCTACGCTTCGCTTCACCGATATCGCTACTGCACTTGTTAACCTCGGTGCATGTCGCCATGTAGCAAAAGACCTTCGCTGGACTATTCGTGAGGATGTACACCCATTGCGTATTAGTTCTGAAAATCGTTCACGTGTTTTGAGTAAGCTAGTAGCGCTAGTGGGCATTGCTGCTCGGTAGGTATCAATTATTTTTTTCACGGATAATAACGTACTCACGCATGATGATTCACAGAACGGAAAATCTTGTCGCAGAAGATATTCCGAACGTGTTATTGAGCCTCGTGGTTATTGGCCTTGACAGAACCACTTCCAACGAGCTGAGGGCCAACTTGCATCTCGCCATTGACACCATTTGCTGGACCATCAATGTACTCAACTGTGAGTTCGCATTCCAAAAGTCCAACACGTTATTCATCTGAGCATCTTGTAGCACCTTTCCATCCATCAACGACTTCTCAGCCATGCGTCTACGCTTACGCCAGCTAACAAAGCCCATTTTGTTTCGTTCTTTAGTAGCGGCAGTGGCCGCACTCGTCACATCGCACAATGGCTAGCATATGCGCTGTTCCTTCCCAACAGTATGCCCTCTGTACGCATCTCTTCTACCATGTCTGGGTTTTGTTTCACTGACCCACGTGACCCATAGGACTGCGCTCCCTCCCCTCGAGCCGCTCATCCTTCTACTTTCACCTGTACCTGGCTCTGATGAGCTCTTCGACGTAACAAGCGCAAACGCAGACTTCGAGGACCTCAGGCATTACTTCGCTATCATCAGTGTCGCGCTCGCAAACATCGAACCCTACGTCCATGAAGAGAACTTGTCTTCCCAATCGCTTTCTCGTCAACCATTGATAGACGACAGCCCCCGGAAGAGCCAGAAGCCGCTTGCTCCCCTCGAACTACTTCTGCGGGTGTTAGAGGTCACGCAGGGGCGTATTGGTGAGTATTCTTTGTATGTAGTCAGTCTCGCGCAGTATTGACGGTGGTTTTATGCAGTTGACACGCGTGCGGCGCACCTAGATCGCTCACGCACGAAGGCAGAGATGCATCGCCTTCAGATGCGCGTGTATTATCAACGCCAGGCGCTCAAGCCCGCCGCAGGGTGGACAAAGATGGCTACCATCCAGCATTACTTCGGTCCCAAGTAGCTCTCGGAGTGTACCTAAGTCACACATTCTAGGTTTACTCTCCTGTTTTCTTTCTTTTTGCTGTTCTCTTTCCAACATGTTTCGTGCACGCCTCTCTTTTCCACCATGCGACTTCATGTGGAATGTTAACCCTATTCTATACGTATCCACTTCTTCTGCGTAATGCCCCTTGCGTCGTCATGTTTTCCACTCAGGTGATGCTTTCTTTTAACTGTACGTAGCTACCGACAATGCTACTCCGCGTCTCCTTGCCTGCTGCAGTAACATATTATGTCCATTATAGCATGCCTATTGTAGATGAATCTGCTGTCAACCAGCTTTAAATCGTGTATGCTCTGTACCCTCTACCTTCCTTCGTATTTGTAGTCTGCTCTTAATGGCTTCTTTGCGGTTTGTGACACGTCAATTACTCGAATCTTTATCGTATGGGTAATAAAAGCGCATACAAACAATAGTAAGGCCGCATCCACCGCATTTTCCACAACGCATGAGCCTCATTCATCTGAGCCCAATGAACTCCCAGGCTGCCCGAATCCCTTCTTAGCAGCCAGCCGCGGATCCACATACAGGTCATCCGAGTCATCGTTGAGGTCAAGCTCGATATCCCATGCTGGCGACGGCTCACGTGGAAGTGGAGGCCCGGAA